AACATACATTAGTAACCTATACATATTACCCTAGATACCTATTCTATTACCTAATAACTAACCTTACCTGCTCTAATTAAAACTGCCTTACCTTACTTTTACTAGCTTAGAGTTTCATCAATTTACTTAAAAGGTACGAATTATTATTATTATTATTATTATTATTTATTTTTATTTTTATTTTTTTTGCTTACACACATTACATATTACGATCAAACATAAATACATAAGTCTTGTTAGAGGTCATCAGCTAGGGTTTACAATTGTTATTTTTAGGCACTTGTCTCTCGCTCCACACAGAGATGGGAGGAGCCAGCACAGGAGGCGCATGCCAGAACTAATGTACATGTATTAGTGGTAGGGGAAACCGGAGTGCCCGGAGGAAACCTACGCAGACACGGGGAGAACATGCAAACTCCTGCTCTGACCGGGATTCGAACCCAGGACCTTCTTGCTGAGAAGCAATAGTGCTATCCACTCAGCCACCGTGCCGAGTTGCATTTTTTTGTCATTCCAAAAAAAAAGAAGAAATTTCTTCATAATTTTGCTTCGTTCTGTTTGAAAATCTTGTTTTAAGGCTCAGTCAGGATGTGCTCCTAAATTAGTCCTCACTTTTTACAGTGTGAGAGCCAACATTATACTATAAACAATACCCCAGTGGTCTCGCCAGCCCCAAAAATATCACATTTTGAGTCCTTGCATAACTCATTTACCTGCACACATTTTCCTTGTGTTCAATAATGTAGAGTTTATTTTAACACGGTACAAAAGTTCGAGAGGAGGATGAGGCTCTCTTCACAAAAATAAAAATCCTTATTCATTAATATGGTACATTTCACTGTAAAAAATGTACATCTTTACATCGTTTTAATTATGTATCATCAATTGTATGATCAATTTGTATATGATCCAATTTGATATTCCTTCCATTGGTTTGAGCTTAAAGAGCAGATCAAAGTCGGACATTGTGTGATTGAGCTCGGATGTCATTGAGAGAGAAAATGTGTGTTTTTGGCACCGACAGAACAACAGCAGAAAACCCAGATGCCAGATCAGGAATAATAAATAAGAGATCGGACGAGAGGAACTTCTCACGAGACTTGACACAGGATTGGGTCCAGAAGAAAGAGACCGGACCAGATATTGACACAGTTAAATCCTGGGTTTTTCCCACATTCATGAACATTCTTACCAGAGATACACATTATTTGTCCTTTTTAAACCTGCTTAGAACCATAATCAACACTAATATTGTGTGAAACCGTGAGATTTGCTTGTTCTTCTCAGTCTGGCGTCCATCCAACCAGCTCTGAGTATGTTTGTGTCTGCACCAGTTGAAACCAGTCGTGTTTTACGGCCTCACGTCAGCTCGAAGCGTCTTCATCTCGTCTCTGCTCTGTCTAGACACCACTGGATTGTTCGGTAGGATCGGACACTTGTACTTTGGGGCTTGTGGTGTCTGTCCGGGCAGCGCGGTGGTTAAAATACCAAATCTGTCTTCCATAATGAGGCCGAGATCCTCCAGTAATGGCCAGTTAGAGATAAGCTGCGGATAACAGGACCACACACGAGCTGCAGATGTTTCAGAACGAGATAAATGCATCAACAACACTCTGTTATAGTCACAGAGACGCAGGGAATTCAACCAGCAACCTCCATGGCTTTGGAAATCATTTACCAAATATCATACGCTCTCTCATTGACTGCTGCCGTTTTCATGAGCCCCAGAATATGATGTGCTTTTACCCTTCTGTAATAATGTTCTGGAAGTCTGTGGCTCACAGGGACTCAGCAAGTAAGTCAGTGACTCACAGGGACTCAGCAGGTAAGTCTGTGACTCACAGGGACTCAGCAGGTAAGTCTGTGGCTCACAGGGACTCAGCAGGTAAGTCTGTGGCTCACAGGGACTCAGCAGGTAATTCTGTGGCTCACAGGGACTCAGCAGGTAAGTCTGTGGCTCACAGGGACTCAGCAGGTAAGTCTGTGGCTCACAGGGACTCAGCAGGTAAGTCTGTGGCTCACAGGGACTCAGCAGGTAAGTCTGTGGCTCACAGGGACTCAGCAGGTAATTCTGTGGCTCACAGGGACTCAGCAGGTAAGTCTGTGGCTCACAGGGACTCAGCAGGTAATTCTGTGGCTCACAGGGACTCAGCAGGTAAGTCTGTGGCTCACAGGGACTCAGCAGGTAATTCTGTGGCTCACAGGGACTCAGCAGGTAAGTCTGTGGCTCACAGGGACTCAGCAGTTTAGTCTGTGGCTCACAGGGACTCAGCAGGTAAGTCTGTGGCTCACAGGGACTCAGCAGGTAAGTCTGTGGCTCACAGTGACTCAGCAGGTAATTTTGTGGCTCACAGTGACTCAGCAGGTAATTCTCTGGCTCACAGGGACTCAGGAGGTAAGTCTGTGGCTCACAGGGACTCAGCCGGTATGTCTGTGGCTCACAGGGACTCAGCAGGTAATTCTGTGGCTCAGCAGGTACCTTTGCTCTCTGCTCCAGCATCTCTAATGGAGCACAGACTCCTGGAGGGAAATCAAATCATGTCAACAATGTCGTGATCCAGACCAGGAGGAGTCTGAGGGACCAGGAGGAGTCTGAGGGACCAGGAGAACAATGGTGTTAGAGTGGGGAAATGTCAGTGTTGCATCAGCAGTTACAGAACAGGAGATAATTGAATAACAACTATATGATTAAGAAGCAAATGATGGAAATACATTTCTGTGGGTCTAAAGTTCTGTTCCTCAGCTTTAATACAACAAACATCGGACGCCCAAATTAAATGTAAACACTAGATTTTTATATTTTATAATTGTGTGCGAGGACTTCTCTACAGAAAGCAAGAGAAATCTATATTTATATATTCTATGAGCATACTTTTGTATTTAACATTTATTAAACCGGTGAAGTCCCATTAGTGAAGAACCTCTTTGCCAAAGCAGTCCTGGATGATTGTTGCTGTGCTTTGGTAAAGTTAAAGTTATTAATGATAGTTCTTTTCAAACCTGTTCATAAATGAGTGTAATCGATGTTGTTGTTGTTGCCTCAGTCCTTTGCTCAGATCAATACAATGAAAAATGTGAATTATCGACAAAATGGGTAAAAATAAAATCTCTAAACTGCCTCAAAAACAAAGATGATTGAGATTTCAGTTTCTCTCTGCGACCTCTGATCTCGTGCTGTTCTGGGCCTCTTCCTCGTTGGTAAATACATCGCCGTGACTTAGATTTAATTACATCTATGAAGTGTTTACCACATTTTACCGCTGATATTTAAATCTGAGCTTTCACATAAAGGCAGCAAACTTAATTTCCCAGAGAGAAGACACATGCAATCAAAGGGTGAGCGGTGTAAACAAAGCCAGCGGCGGGTGACAGCGTTTCAACAAGACGCCTCTTTCTTCAATTACCCGCTCCCAAACACAGATATTGTTATCGCCGCTCCCGTGTTCTGATGTCTTGCTCTGTTACGAGTTTGCTCCTGGAGGCTTTCTCTGATGGAATGGGGAGTTACTGTTGTTTGTTTTTTTAAATTAGCACGGAACAATCCATAGTTTCTGGCAGCAGTCGGAGCTCAGGGTGTATCTTATTCTGTTGTTTAGATGTTTGTGAACGACGGCTGTATCCGGCTCGAGGGACTAATCCGGCTCGAAGGACCAGTTCAGTGGCGCTAAACGATTCTATATTATTATTGTTATTATCTTGCAGCGGTGATGGTTTTGGCCTTCCATGGCATGTTATACATCACTGGTGTCAAAGTCGAGGCCCGGGGGCCAGATCCAGCCCGCGAGACCATTTCCAGTGGCCCTTGAGATGATTTTAAATTATAATATTAAATAGCAGCATTAATGGTAATAGGCAACAATGGCATGTTTTCTATTACTGAGAAAACAACCATAACATTTAACCCCATAAGAAACAAAGGATTTCCCAATTTTCTCAGGAAAGAACTGCTCTCTCCACTTTTTGAACAAAACCGTCTGGTCTTATTTGACGAGCACGAGTCACCAGAATGATTGACAGTTGGGAGGAGCAATAGTTTCGATGATCCACCCGGAAGTAGAAAATCTTCCTATATACCTTCAATATTTGGTCCAGTTTTGGTTCAGTTTTGGTCCAGTTTTGGGTCAGTCCACAGAAACTGATCTAATTCTAAAGAGAAAAGAATGTCCAATCTAACTAATGTGAAGCCAGTCATTTATTTAGATTCCTTCATATTAAAAAAAAAATCTAATAAATGAAACCCACTTATTTCTTCGGCCCCTGATCAGCTCTTTCTTTTTTTATCCAGCCCTCAACCAAAATAAGTTTGACAACCCTGTTATACATCATCTATTCACTCAGGAAAACAACAACATGTTATGTATTATAACATTTTTACTAAATACGTCATTAGAAGTTAAATATCTCATATAAAAGAATGGGTTGGTTCATAAATGTTCTTTTCCATATTTGTAACAGTGAATAATAATTCTTTTTTCTTATAGATTAGATTTGATAGATTTTAGACTTATTAAAGCTAGTATCCTCATTCCAACTCCTGGCTCCTATCACTACGCTGCCGAACGGAACGTTTCAAGAGATGTGCCTTCGGCTGTTAGACTGTACAACAAACCTGACTGACTTTACAAGAACAAAAGAGTCTTCTGCTGCTGGACACCTGAATTTCTCCAACGGGGGATCAATAAAGTTTCTTTCTATCTATCTACTGTTCTGTAACTGCTGATGCAACACTGACATTTCCCCACAGAGGGATGAATAAAGGACCTTTCTTCATATTAATATTAATTCTAATCTTTGGTCTGGGAGCTGATTGGCTGAGTTTCTTTTTCCCTTCTCTGTCTGAAATACATGAAAGTGAAGACCTCATAGAAAGCTGGTTTGACAAATGTTATTTTATGTCATTTTGGGCGGTTTCAAAGTTACATACCCCAGCTTTAATCTCTCTTTAATTCAAACCAGGAAACTATCCCCAGCTCCTGAGACTGTACTCGAGTATTGTACCATTTTCATCAGTCTTTAGCGTGTCCTCGGTCTCGCTCCGGTCTCTGGTCTGTGCGGTCCTCTGCTGTATTGATGACCTATCAGAGTGTCACCATTAGCCTTCTCACAGTTGGAGTGGTCCATTCAGACTCCGCAGGGCGCCATCACGGCCCTCGCCCCGTATGATCACACAGACCCCTTTAAACCCGCCCCGCTCCACAATGGGACCTCTCCAGCCGAGACAAAGAGCCTCTAATTGTGCCTTTGAGCAACGCGCGAGCCGGGTCAGCTGGTGGCGGCGGTCCCTCGGGTGACGCTGTCCTCCCAGATTGGCTCCGGATCCAAGAGGAAATTGGGAGCGTGGTGCAGTCTTTCGCTGGATGGTTTCGCGGCGATGGATACGCTTTGGATTCTACAAGTTTCTAACGAGATTTTAGGGTCGTGTCATTGCTACGTTTTTAACCTTTGATTGACAGCGGCTACTTTAACGTTTAACATCAAAGGCCAAATGTATCTCTGACCAGACGAGATGAAATGAGACAATACTCGAGTACAGTCTCAGGAGCAAGGGATAGTTTAATGGTTTAGACTAGAGAGACTGATTAAAACCACAAATATAAAACTATATAATAAAATAAGTTTGTGTAAGCCCTCAGTCGTACAGGGATTAGTCAAAGCAAAGGAAGGTTTCTCACCCATCATCTGTACTTCTTAGCAAGTTTTCCCTACGTTTTGTCCTCAATCTTAAGGACTTCTTCAGGGAATGAATTCTCAGACCGCGCGTTGGAGATTTATAACCTATGGGTGTGGTTAGCCACACCCTAATCCTAATACTAACTCATAAACAATCTAAGGTATATAATAAAATATGTGTAAGTTGCTCCTTTCTTTCTATAAGGTCTTTAATGTATTTCTAGCCTCAGTCCCCAATTTCTCTGTCACAAAATCCACAGAAAATGTGTAGTAATAATTGCAGACACATTTAATTTCACTACTGGCATCACAAAGTGTCAAAACTCCACGAATAAATTAGATAATAGCTAGAGATGCACCGATCCAGCTTTTTTACTACCGATACCGATACCAGAGCTATGGGTTTCTGCCGATACCGATATTGACCGATACCGGAAATGATCATGCTAAAATGTATTTAATAATTGAACTCTTTGTTCAAGTAACTGCAAAAGCTGTGGATGAACTAAAGCGCTAAACTTTCCAGATAAAAATGGATTCAACATAAATGTGCAATACTGCAACTATAAAGAGCTGCTCAATGTTCACATGAAACATTCCAATACTGTATTATACCTTATACATTTACTGAATATAAATGTACTTATATTAACTGTGTTTGAATAAAAAAATACTTACAACAAACAAAACACGCTGCATGAAAATGTAAATAAATAATAGTACCGTAGCTTTAAGTGGATTTCAGATATGTATTTGGCGACGGCATGGACCTGGGTTCCAAATGGTCTATGGGGCTGCGAGCCCATGATGAACTCCAACACTTTGGGGTTGTTGCTGAAAAGCTTTTTGTGACGCTGCGTCAGTGTCATCTGTGTCTCGTTGTTTTCACATAATCTCCTTTCGATGCAGAAACTCCCCGTGCTGTTTCTCTTGGTGCTTAGTCGTGTTGTATTTCTCTGGTTTACCGCCGCGAGAACAACGCTCTTTCCTGCTCCACGCTGTGTTGTTGTTGTTGTAGAGCGCCACGAGGAAGTGTCACATCTGATACATTACTTTTAATTCATTCATTTTATACATATATGTACATTATGCACAATGTATTTTAAGACATTGTGCGGTACCTGGTATGTATTAAAAATATATATAATTTTTTTTAAAAAAGAAAAGAAAATGGACTGGTAGCACGGCGCCTCTCTCTACGCAGATATCCGATCCAGTATTTTTTCTGGTATCGGCGCCGATATCGATACCAGTATCGGATTGGTGCATACCTAATAATAGCATAACTAACATAAGAAGCTTGCATAAAATCTCTAGCTTTAGCATAATAAAGAAGCTAGTATAACATCTCTAGCTTTAGCATAATAAAGACGCTAGTATGAAATCTCGAGCTTTAGCATAATAAAGAAGCTAGTGTAAAATCTCTAGCTTTAGCATAATAAAGAAGCTAGTGTAAAATCTCTAGCTTTAGCATAATAAAGAAGCTAGTGTAAAATCTAGCTTTAGCATAATAAAGAAGCTAGTATAAAATCTAGCTTTAGCATAATAAAGAAGCTAGTATAAAATCTAGCTTTAGCATAATAAAGAAGCTAGTATAAAATGGTGTGTATTTTAGCACATATATAGTTGTATGTTTTCATCCGTCAGGGGCATATTCTGTTAAATGTAATTAAAATCTTGAGTTTTTCTGTTTTTATGACACACACATTAACACGGACAATGGCATAAAAGAGAACCACAAAACAGACCAAAATAAACCGCAGTAAACGGCGGTGAGAGCAGCGTCTCTAAATCGGGCCTGGTGTCGGTGACGGTGATGGATGGAGGGTG